CACAAAAATAGACACATAGACCAATGAAACAGAACAGAGAACTCAGAAACAAATTCATGCACCTATAGCCAACTGATTTTCAACAAAGTTGCCAAGAAGACACACTGGGAAAAAGATCATCTCTTCAACAAATGTTGCAAGGAAAATTGGATATTCACATGTAAAATAATGAGACTAGACCCCTTCCTCACACCATATACAAAAATGAACTCAAAATGGATTAAAGGCCTAAATGTAAATCCCAAAATTATGAAACTACTAGAAGAAAACGTAGGAGAAATGCTTTATGCCATTGGGCTGGGCAAATAATTTTTAATAAGACCTCAAAAGCACAGGCAACAAAAGGAAAAGTAGACAGATGGGATTACATCAAAATAAAAAGCTTCTGCACAGCAAAGGAAACAAACAGAGTGAAGAAACAACCTACAGAAAGGGAGAAAATATTTGCAAATTATACATCTGACATTCATATCCAGAATATATAAGGAACTTAAACAACTCAACAACAACAAAAAACCTTATTTTAAAATGGGCAAATGACATTACATTTCTCCAAAGAAAACATGGAAATGACTAGCAGTTACATGAACAGATGCTCAACATCACTAATAATTGGGGAAATGGCAATCAAAACTGCAATGAGATATCATCTCACTCCAGTTAGACTAGATAGTTTCAAAAAGACAAATAAAAACAAATGTTGGTGAGGATGCTGAGAAAAAGGAATGTCTACACATTGTTGGTGGGAATGTAAAGTAGTACAGCCACCATGGAAAACAGTATGGATGTTCCTCTGAAAATTAAAATCAGAACTACTATATTATTCAGTCATCCCACTATGGAGTATCTATCCAAAGGAAATGAAATTAGCATATTGAAAAGATACCTACACTCCCATATTTATTGCAGCACTATTACAATAACCAATATATGAAATCCACCTAAGTGTCCTATAATAGATGAATGGATACAGAAAATCATACACACACACACACACACACACACATATATATAAAAAATACAATTTAATACTATTGAACCATGAAAAAGAATGAAATTTTGTCATTTTTTGACAACATGGACCTGGAGAACATCATGTTAAGTGAAATAAGCCAGACATGAAAAAACAAATATCATATGATCTCACTCATATGTGGAATCTAAAAAAAAACGAAAAAACACAGATGCTATTATAGAAGCAAAGAATAGAACAATGGTTAATAAAGACTGGGGAGGGAGTGGGAGAGGGGATGAAAGGGTGAGATTGATCAACTGGTACAAAGTTACAGTTAGGAGAAATGAGTCTGGTGTTCTATTGCACAGTTGGGTGAGGATAATTAAAAGTAAGGTATTTTGTAGATTACCAAATAGCCGGAAGAGAGGCTTGTAATTGTCCTCACCACAAAGAAACGATAAATGGACAAGGTTATTGACACACTAAATACCCTGATTTGATCGTTATACAATACATATGTATCAAAACATCAAATTATACCGCACAAATATGTACAATACAATGTGTCCATTTTAAAAGGCATCTAATTTGGTGACAGAATTCCCCCAAAAAGGAATTAGGGGCTACTGAAAGGGAGGATAGGGTAATGAATGGTAGGGTAGCATCTGTGTTTGTTAGAATTAGGTTCAGCTGTAAGTGACAGAGACCCAAACTAGCAATCGCTTAAACTTAAATAGAAATTTTTTTCTCTCTCTCACAAAAAGTCTAGTAAGGTAGTTGAAAGCTGATATGGTTTACGACAGCATTATAGACTCAAGCTCCTTCTATCTGTGTCTTCTACCACAAATTCTATGTTCATCTCATTGCCAAGACGGCTGCCCCAGCCATTGCATCTGCAATCCAACCAGCAGAAAGGGAAAAGCAAAGGAGAAGAACATGCCCATTCCTTTTAAAGAAACATCCCCAAAGTTGTACATAAAACTTCCTACTTATATCTCATTAGCCAAAACTTAGACACATGGCCACACTTTGCTGCAAGCAAGGATGGGAAACATAGTTGATTCTAGGCATCAATTAATACATCCTCCATGAAAAATCATTTTACTTTGGAAGAAGGAAGATTGGACATAGAGGGACAACTGATAGTCCCTTGGTCAGTATCCTTGGGTACTGGAGGTAACTCCTCCCCAGATTTCACAGAACTCCCTGGCATGAGTAACTGCAGCAAGAAGTTACCATACTTCATTCCAACACTTTGAGGACACATTGGGGAATTACATGAGTCATCAAATGTGAAAATTAGAAAACTGCTGACCGTTCTTTAAAGCCCCAATACCCTTTTGTTATCTCCCTTCCTCCTTTTTTTTTTTTTTTTTTTATTTTTTGGAGATGGAATCTCACTCTGTCACCCAGGCTGGAGTGCAGTGGCATGATGTCGGCTCACTGCTACCCCCCGCCTCCCAGGTTCAAACGATTCCCCTGCCTCAGCCTCCTGAGTAGCTGGGATTACAGGTGCCTGCCACTATGCCTGGCTAAATTTTGTATTTTTAGTAGAGACAGGGTTTCACCATGTTGGCCAGGATGGTCTTGAATTCCTGACCTCAAGTGATCGGCCCACCTCGGCCTCCCAAAGTGCTGAGATTACAGGCATGAGCAGCCACACCCAGCCCTTCTTTTTTTTTTTACACCATATTATTTGTAGCTTGAGCAGCAACTAGTCTAATGAAAAGATCACTAACTTTGGTTCAGAAAACCTGGATTTGAATGTTGAATAAGCCACTTACTGATTACTTACAGCATTTAACCTATCTGGCCTCATTTTCTCATCTGTAGAATGGGGATTATAAGGTCTCATGGGATTGTGTTAAAGACTAAGTGCTAGCTCATAGTAAGGGCTCAATAAATGGTAGCTACTATTATCATCAGGCTTCTCTGTCCCGGAGGTCATTGCAGCTGTCTTCTGCATAATCACCCAATAAGTGGAGTTTATTAAATGAGCCTCCATTCTAGGGCTAAGCCACATGATTTTCAAATAATCAATATGTGAAGCCACCCAGCATAAGCGGACAGGCTATAAATCAAATCGGATTCAAAGTCTGTCACAGATAAAAGGGACCTTCATATACGTTGATTTGTCATTTTCCTGTTTACTGCTGTTATCATTATTGCTAATAATAATGGCAAGAGTTGTCATTTATTAAATGCCCTTGCTGTGCCAGGCACTGTGCTTTTGAAACTTCACAGTGATCCCATAAGGTAAGTTTTTTCATTCTCCTCTAACAGATGAGGAAACTGAGTACAGAAGGGATAAGTGATTTGCCACAAGTCACCCAGAGCCAGCCTGGTACTCAGATCCAAGTCTACAGCATCTGTGTTTGTTAGAATTAGGTTCATCTGTAAGTAACAGAGACCCAAACTAGCAACGGCTTAAACTGAGATAGAAATTTCGTATGAATCATATAGTAGTTCTGTTTTTAATTTTCAGAGGAACATCCATATTGTTTTCCATAGTGGCTGTACTACTTTACATTCCCACCAACAATGTGCAGACATCCCTTTTTCTCTGTTTCTTATTGTTTATTTACTTTTTATAATTTTTATGTTTAAAAAATCCCCAAAAACCATAAAAGAAAAAAATCACCAATTTTTACACCACCTTTCTTCTTTTGAAGTCTCTACTGAAAGAAAAAGTGAAAACACCCCCAGCTCTTCTAAATTCTCCCCCAGAGAGAACCACTGTTAGCAGATTGTTTTTCCTACTTACGCAGTTTAATATTCTTTAAATTGTCATGTTTACTCTTTTGCAAACAAGTCATTTCAAACAGGAGTTACGTTATATAGTCCCTTGCTCAGCATCCTCGGGTATGTTAAATGGCTACATTAAAAGCTGCAGGGAAAAATGACTTTCATTCTATATATGCTGGCTTCTGTAGCTTTCATTTACTTGTTCTTTCATTCATTCAGTCAGTCATTCAACAAATCTCAACCAAGTACCCCATACTTGCCAAGAACTAGTTAGGCACTGAGAATAGAAAAATTAAGAAAATTCAATTCCTCTCTTGGAGAAGTCACTAGCCTAGAGGGTGGTGACTTCACCCATCATTGCACAAAATGAAAAGATCTACAATCAGGATGAGGGGCAAAAATGAGAGAAAGGTTCAGGCAAGGAGATGTTTGAGCTCAGAATTAGAGGAGGCATTCACTGCACAGACAAGAATCCATGTTATTTTGACCAGAGACCAGTAGGGGAGAGCCCAGAGGCGTCTTGTGTGGCTAGAACATCATGGAAGGAAGCGCAAAATTGATGGAGATGAGGCTGGAAAGGTCACTTGGGCCTTGAATAACATTCTTAAGTCTTTGCAGTGCATCTGACATTCCTATCTGCTACAAAGCCTCTTGTTCTAGAAGGAAAATAGATGTTCAACTTGTGAAAATGTTATTCTAGAGGAAAGATAGGTGTTCAACTTGTGAAAAGAGAGAAGTTCCATCTTAAAATCCATAATCAGGAATACTACTTGGCAATTTACAAAATGAAATAGTGATATGATACATGCTACAGCATGAACGAAGCTTGAAAACATGCAAGGCAAAAGAATCCACTCACGAAAGAAGCTGTGTCATTTTCTTTCATTTATATGAAATGTCCAGAATAGGCAAATCTATGAGACAGAAAGTAGATTAGTGGTTGCCTAGGGGTGGAGGGGGTGGGAGGAAATGTGGAGTAACTGCTAATGGGAGTAAGACTTGGGGAGGGAGGAGAAAATGTTCTAAAGTTGATGATGATGGTTACACAACTCTGAATATACTGGAACCACTGAATTGTACACTTTAAATGGTTGAATTATATGGTATGTGAATTATATCTCAAGAGAGTGACTCAAAAGAAGGCTTAGCAGAATTTTAAAAAAACCCTCCATCACTAGAAAATAATACACTCCTGAAAACTGCCACAAATAAGTCTGTGTTCAAGACAGGCTTTTGTGGTCATTGTTTCTTTTCCATCACCATCCTTTGAAAAATATAGAATATTTTGAATGTGGGTTACCTTGAAAGTTCATTGGTCAGTCAACAACTTAGGTCTATTTGTTTTCTCCCGTGTTTAATCCAGAGGTTGCTAGAGGACAGTGACTCTCAAACTCTAGTTCTGGAACCACCTCCATCAGAATCACCTGCGGTGTGGGTTATCAATGCAGATTCCCAGACACCAAGACCTAGTAAATCAAAGTATCTGGATGTGAATCCCAGGGATTGGTACTTTAATTTTGATACATACAAATGTTTCAAGATCTATGCTCCAGACTATGACGCCTGGCTTATAATTTCCTCCATTTCATTATGTTGGTCCCACCCCGGTTTCTGAGTCTGAGTTGATCCTAAATAGACCCAGATCACGGAACACATTAAGACACCCAATGCAGAAGAACCTTTGCAAAGAGATATGAAAATAAATGCAATCTGTGTATGACTGTAGCGGTGACTGAGTGTTCACAGAACATGTTAAGGACAGACGGAAGTGGACGGCCAGAAATTTTAGGACCAAAATCTGATTAACCGAATGACCTCAGATCTAACTTCTGACTTCAGTACACGGGCTAGATTGTCTAAGAGCATGCCATTCCACCCATCTCCCACCTTCTGGATTTTTCCAATCTATGGTGCATCCTTCTGACTGCTGTGACTATGACCTTGCTGTCTCTCCTGAGACTAAGTCACCTCCTGCATAAAATGATGTGCTTGATCTCAGTTGTCTTGGGATTCTCTCCAGGCCCTGATGTTATATAATACAGGATCCAATGACCCTTGAGCAAGATTAGAAAGGCTTCTACCGTGGCTTTGACACCCAGAATTAAAACAAAGAGGGGCTGTGCATGGTGGCTCATGCCTGTAATCCCAGCACTTTGGGAAACCAAGCTGGGAGGACTGCTTGAGTCCAGGAGTTTGAGACCAGCCTTGGCAACATAGCAAGACCCTGTCTCTACAAAAAATTGTAAAGCAATTAGCTGAGCATGGTGGCATGCATCCATAGCCCCAACTACTTGAGAGGCTAAGGTGAGAGGATCACTTGAGCCCAGGAGGTCAAGGCTGCAGTGAGCCAAGATAACACTGCTGCACTTCAGCCTGGGCAACACAGCAAGACCTTCTTTTGAAATAACAACAACAAGCAAACAAAACAAAAACAAAAAGGGCTATCGCCAGCATCTTGAAAATTCACTTCATTGAGATATCATTTACATATAACAAAATGCACCCATTTAAGTGTATGTTTTGGTGAGTTTTGATACCAAACTCTGAGATCCATTCATAGTATTATATGGGTGTGGATGGGAAGCCTTATTTTTTTATTTTTTATTTTTTGACAGCTTTGTCTTCATGGGCCTGGGAAACAGAGCATAAGCATAGCTTCCCAGGAAGTCCCCTTCCACACCCTGCCCAGGTCCAGCCTATCATTTATCCTCAAACACCACGTACCCCCTGCCTTTGTAGCCCCTCACAACTGGTTGTGACTTCCCCAAGGCTGCTCAAGAGTCCCCACAGAAAATCTCAGGTTTGTGTTTCCCACTTCCCTGGATGCTGCTGAACCATTTATAATTTCCTGGCCCCCTTGGTTTTTATAGGGTGGTCAGTTTATCGGTACCTCATAATGGTTCCTTGCTGAGGCACTCTCATGGCTATATTCACATTCCAAGTTCCGGCTTTGACGATTTACGTAGCAGCTGAGATTCACCTGCTAAATGGAAGGCCTGTCACGCAGGCTCATTCTCCAACTGTTACGGGATGGAAATGCTTGACTGTGAGTTGTCCAGGTTCTTGGTGCATTGAACAAAGAATCAAACAAAACATACAAATAAAGCAACAAAAAACCCCAAAACAATGAAAGCACAGATTTATTGAAGCAAAAGTACACAGAGTGAGAGCAGGCTTGAACAAGCAGCTCAAAAGCTCCAATTATAATGTTTTTAAGGGTTCTTACTAAGCTAAAAGAATTTGGTAACACCCACTTTGTGCCCTTTAGAGGGTTCCAGTTGGTTACACCTTATGAAGGATTGCCCCAGGACCAATCAAAGGCTGAAGTGGAGATGGCACATGACCAATCAGAGGCTGAAGTGGAGATCTGGCCTGTGGTCAATCAGAGGCTGAAGTGGAAATTTCCATCTTGTTGTTTCAGGAGTGAGGAAGTGGCCTGTATGCTGCCCAATCTTGCCTAGAACTGGCTGCACCTGCTCTTCTTTTGCTTACACCTTAACCCTTGGTTACCCTCATTCCCTATTCGCCTGCTTCTCAAGCAGACGGTTTCAAATACATGGACCCAAGTAAATCAATGACCTTCTATCTCTCCTTTTCCTGTATCTTGCAGACTAGAAGATGTTGATGCTTACAGAGCAGAAATACACTCTATGGCTGGAGACTGGTCTTTACGGCCTTAGAATTGTTCCCCTGGGAGGTCAGTTCAAGCTGTTACTCCGCATATTCAGAAGGGTTCCCCTTCCAATTGTTCCAGTTGTCATTTGACATGTATTTCTGTGGTTCTTTGGCTGCTGTCTCTTTCCCCCACAACTCATAAGTCTCAGAGGCAGGAACCATGTCTGTCTGGTCTCTGCACTCCATCACTGATTTCTAGAACTCTGCCTAATATGCAGGAGATGACCAATTAGTATGAGTTAACAAAACTACAGAAGGGGAAGAAAGAAGTCAAGAAGTAGGCCAGGTGTGGTGGCTTACACCTATAATCCCACCACTTTGGGAGGCTGAGGCAGGTGGATCACCTGAGGTCAGGAGTTTGAGACCAGCCTGGCCAACATGGTAAAACCCCGTCTCTATTAAAAACACAAAAAATTAGCCGAGTGGTGCATGCCTGTAATACCAGCTACTCAGAAGGCTGAGACAGGAGAATCACTTGAACCCAGGAGGCAGAGGTTGCAGTGAGCTGAGATTGCACCATTGCACTCCAGCATAGTCAACAAGAGCAAAACTCCATCTCAAAAAAAAAAAGAAAAAGAAAAAGGGAGAGAGAGAACTGTAGATTACATCACAGGGATTGCTCCCTTAACACTTGTAACAAGGTAAAATCTGATTCGACAGGACATCAGGCACTCTTGTACTCGCATTGTTGTGGGCTGAATCGTGTCCCCCGACTCCTAAAAAATATGTTCAAGTCCTAGCCTCTGGTATCTGCAAATGTGACCTTAATTGAAATGGGGTATTTGCAAATATAACTGAGCTAAGACGAGGTTATACTGGAATAGTGTGGGCCCTAAATCCAATATGATTGCCATCCTTACAAGAAGAGAAGAAACACAGAGACACATAGGGAGAATTCCATGTGGTGACAGAGGCAAGCACTGGAGTGATGCTTCTACCAGCCAAGAAACACCAGGGATAACCAGCAATACCAGAAACTATGAAGAGGCAAAAAATGACCAATCTCTAGAGCCACCAGAGAGAGCCTAGCCTTGCTGGCACCTTTATTTTGAACTGCTCGCCTCCAGAAATGTGAGATAAGAAGTTTCTGTTGTTGTGTTAAACTTCCACCACCATGCAAGTTTGTGGTGATTTGTTATGGCAACCCTAGGAAATAAATACGGATGCCCATTCTATGGGATTGTAATTGCCTGTTTGCTGGTCTGTTTCCCTTGCAAAAGGCAGGGGCTATGACTCGTGCATCTCGGTAACCTCAGTACTAGCATACTGTGGTGCATGGCAGAGAATTGTTGCTTGGTCTCCATCCATTGAGTAGATAGAAGAGAAAGAGGTGGCAGGGGCTCCAAGTGACCTCCTGGGCCTTGTTAACACCAGTGGTTGCAACTTGTCCACAGGAAACTGCAACCTCTACAATGCCCTGGCTGCCCATAACCAGCTACAATTCCACTTTCCCAGAAAATGAGACTGGAGAAATGATCCTCAGTAGTTGTACCCCAGGGAGGATTGTGAGTTTAAAAACAAACTCGCTTCCTTTCTGCTAAATTATTGCCCGCCTCCCACCACCCCAACTACCCCTTAGCTATAGAAAGTCTCACCACCAATCTACTCCTCTGTCCAATCAAATTATTCATGTTGACAAAGACCAGAATAGCTTATTAAGGACCAGGTTTGCAGGTGACTGCGCCATACTGAGAATCGCTGTTCATTTTTAGAAAATAAACTCCAGTTAGCAATCTCAGCTGCTTGTTTCATTTCCTGGCTAGACATTTCTACTTGTGGGGCTTTTGCTGCTGCTCCTCACACCATCTCTGGGAACTTCAAACCTGGAGACCCTGGGAAGATGTCCACGTGGGCTCTCTTCATAACCTGTAGAGGGGACTTTGCATGCTATAGAGGAGATCTGAGCGTGGAGGACACACTGACACACTGATTACCCCTTATGTATCAGGCACTAGGCTACACCCTTTACATACTTGTGAGATGTGGGATATCGGTCCCATTTTATGGATGAGGAAACTGAGGCTCAAAGAGTTTAAGGATTTTTCACCTCAGAAAATGTCACCATTTTCCCTTCAGTTGCTTAAGCCAGAACACTGAGAATCCTTCTTAACTCCCTTCTACTCATCAGTAATTATTTTCCTTTGGCCCACAAATTAGGTCTCGAATTCACATGAATCCCTTTATCTCTACAGCCACTGCCCTGGTCTAGGCCACGATCACCCAACAAGCAATTACTGATTGTCTGGTATGTACCAATCTCTGTTCCAAGAACCTGGGATGCTCAAAGAAACAAAACTGATGAAGATCTCAGCCCTCAAGCAGCCTTCATTCTGGCCATCGCTTTAGGTTACTGCTCTATCCTCCAACTTGTTCTCCTCCCACACAAACCATTCTCCAAAATTCAGTCGATTTTTCCAAAATAAAAACTCGATCATGTAATTCCCTCTTTCAAATTGTCTAAGAGGCTCCCATTACTTTGAGGATACAAGTCTATTCTCCTTAATAGGTCCTGAATCCGTTTCATAACCTGGCCCTAATTAGTTCTCCAGTCGCTCTCCAGTCCTAGCTCTCACCGCTTCCCTCTCTACCACACACTCCACTAAAAGAAAAAAGAAAAGAAAAGAAAAGAAAAAAAACAGCCGGGCGCGGTGGCTCATGCCTGTAATCCCAGCACTTTAAGAGGCCGAGGCGGGCGGATCACAAGGTCGGGAGTTTGAGAAGAGCCTGGCCAACACAGTGAAACCCCATTTCCACTAAAAATAGAAAAAAATTAGCCAGGTGTGGTGGTGGGTGCCTGTAATCCCAGCTACTCGGGAGGCTAAGATAGGAGAATAGCTTGAACTCAGGAGGTGGAGGTTGCAGCGAGCCGAGATCGTGCCATTATGAGTGGCACGTGTGAGACTCCGTCTCAAAAAAAAAAAGACAGAAAAAGAAAAGAAAGAAAAAAGAAACTACGCACGCGCGCGCGCGCACACACACACACACACACACACACACACACACACACACACACAGAGTAGAAACTTCCGGATTAACTTTTCTCAATTTATTTAGAGTTTAAGGCACTCCACTGTCTCTAGCTCTCTGACCTCCATATATGAGGGTCTCTCTGCCCGGCAAAGCTTCCCTTCCTCCATCTCATATTCAGCCTTCACTTTCTGCTTAGGCTTAGCTCCCCTGCGAAGGCTTCCCTGACTCCTACCCTGTCCAGACCACAGTAGGGGCTTCTGCAAATGATCTCATAAAAATGGGTCTTCCCATATCCTCGCTTGGGTCACACTTTGTCAGGGTTGTCTTTGCCAGTAGATTGTACTCTTTGAAGGCAGGGAGGGGACAGTGTATGCCCTGTTCATCACTGTATCCACGGCACCAAAGGAATATCTCTGTACTAGTTTTTGAAATGAATGGATAAATGAATGTTGAAGAAGGAACAGGTCTCAGTTTCACAGCTAGCAAGCAGCCAGGATGGGATTTGACTTCAAACGTCTACTCTTAACCACATCATAAGCCACTGTAGGGTAAATGCACCTGAGAGCAATAACTAAAGCACACCCTTAGAATGACTTTGTATGGCAGATGCACCTGAATGTGCGTTCTGAGCTAGGGAATCAGGAGTAGCCAACCTGGAGATTTTTTTCCTTGTCTGTGAAGAACATCTGAGTTCCTGGCCTGTCCCATGAAACATGTGTTGTACAGGGAATTGAAACCCTAAGTTTTGGATTAAATGAAAGTTGCCAGGTGGAGGTCATTAAGGGGAGGATGCTAAGTGGAAATGCTATATAAACTGCATGCTGCTTTTTGTTGTTTTTGTTTTTGTTTTGAGATGGAGTTTCTCGGTGTCACCCAGGCGGGATTGCAGTGGTGCGATTTCAGCTCACTGCAACCTCCGCCTCCCCGGTTCAAGCAAATCTTGTGCCTCAGCCTCCCGAGTAGCTAGGATTACAGGCATGTGCCCACACACCTAGCTAATGTTTGTATTTTTAATGGAGACAGCGTTTCACCATGTTGGTGAGGCTGGAGGAGTCTCAAACTCCTGACCTCGGGTAATCCACCTACCTCGGCCTTCCAAAGTGCTGGGATTACAGGCATGAGCCCACGCACTCGGCCAAACTACATGCTGTTTGCAAGCAGTTGAGGTTTTCTTGCCCAGCCCACCACCACTGCATTCTCTCCCATGTATGTAGCCCCTAATCAAACCTCATTTCTTTTTTTTTTTTTTTTTTTGAAATGGAGTCTCACTCTATCACCCAGCCTGGAGCACAATGGTGCGATCTCAGCTCACTACAACCTCCACCTCCCAGGTTCAAGTGATTCTCCTGCCTCAGCCTCCCGAGTAGCTGGGACTACAGGCACATGCCACCACACTGGACTAATTTTTATATTTTTAGTAGAGACAGGGTTTCACCACGTTGTCCAGGCTGGTCTCAAACTCCTGACCTCAGGTGGTCCGCCTGCCTCAGCCTCCCAAAGTGCTGGGATTACAGGCGTGAACCACCGCACCCAG